AGCTATAGGTGGCAGAAGATGTTACGGCAGGGAATACAGATGTTTAAATAGGAATCAAAGGTCGCCACAGCCTCTGGCACAAGGAACAGCTTACTTTACAGCAGATTTTTTAATTCTTTTTGTGGCCGGGGGGTCCTTCCCCGCAGACTTCACTTTAGCTCCTCCATTTTCTGCTCCTCTTTTTGTTTCTGCCTGAACACCTCGTCTTCCTCGTCCATCTCCCTGGCCTGCTTCTTGGGCTGTTGCAGAGGCTGCTTCTTGCCACCTTCATGGCCAGATACAGCGCTGCCTCCCCTTCCCCAGACCCTGCCGAAAATTCAGCTTTTTAAAGTGTACAGTTCAGCGGCTTTTCGTACATTCACAAAGTTGTGCAAATATCACCACGATCTAATGCCCCAACAGGACACCTGATGCCCATTGGCAGTCACTCGGCACCCCCTCATTTCCCTCTTCCCCAGCCCCTGGCAGCCACTAATCTACTTTCCATTTCCATGGACTTGTCCATTCTGGAAATTTCATGTAAAAATCAATCACATGATATGTATCTTTCGTGCTCGGCTTCTTTCATTTAGCATAGTGTTTATAAGTATGTATAAACATTGTAGCATGCTCTTTTCATGGCTGAATAATGTTTCGCTCTGTGAATAGACCTCATTTATGCATTCATCAGTTGATGGGCATTTGGGTTATTTCTTCTTTTGGCTATTATGAATAATAGTACTATTTGAGTATAAGTTTTTGTATGAACACATTTTCAAGTTTCTTGAGACTCTACCTAGGAGTGGCATTGCTGGGTCACATGGTAACTCTGTGCTTAACTTTTCCAGGAGCTGCCAAACCATTTCCCAAAGCAGGCACAACAGTTTTATCACCTGTTTTTGCCCCTTGCACACTAGATCATGACTGTCCTTGCTTATCATAATTTAAGACATGTGCATCACTAGTTTGAGTGAGTACATAATATTTCCTTGGCAGGTACCAGAGTGTATTTAACAAATTCCCTCTTTATGGACATTTGATGATCCTTTGGAAGAGGCTTTGGGCGTCTCCCTTGTGTCCCCAGCAGTTTGTAAGTGGCACTTTACAGAGCACTTTGTATCCCCCTAATTTGGTGCTTTCACAGGCATTACACCCCCCCTCGACACACATCTGTCTTATCTACTAATGGTGAGCTGCTTGATAAGGTGACCCATGTCTTGAATTTACCTGTGTATCGTAACACCCAGCCAAGAGTCGGGCATTGTGGTAGATGTTCAAAGAATGAATGGATACATGGATGAACGGTTATAGCCAGGGACTGTGGAAAGATGGAGTTCATTTTTGCCTTCTGTCCAAAAATCCCTGCTTTGAGAGGTAGTGAGTTCCCTGACCCTGGAGGTGTGTGACAGGAGGCTGGGCCAGTTGGCAGTAACCATTGTAAAGCAACTTTAGGCATCAGAAATGGGACTGGATTGAATTTAAAATCGCTTCCAAACTTGAGAGCCTAGAACTCTGTGAAGTACAAGGCCAGGGAAGCTAAGAGATGTGTCCTAAGTTGCCCAGCTGAGCAGTTGTGGGGCTGTGAGTTGCTGTGAATATTTCCGAGCCTGTTCTGGGGACCCGGCACTGAAGCTCCACCTTGCCTGAAGGCATCTGCCTACTTGTACCTGACTTTGGGAGGCTCTCAACCCACTAAGGTTAGAGACCCACAAAGGAGAAACCCTTCTGTAACAAGTTGTTTGGCAAGTTTGTGCCTAAGTGTAATCTGAGAGTTCAGTCTGGACTGTTTACATAAAAGGCTGAACTGAGTGGGCATGGCTTGGAGGTTCCAACAGGAGTCCAGGGAGATCTTTGGTAGTGGAGAGAGCTTTTCTCTTATCCCTGCTTAGATCCTCGGGCTGGGGTGGAGGGAACTCCGGGGCCAGTCCCCTGGGCTCTGGGACGGGAAGGCACCTCCCCTCAGCACCGCACCTAGACCTGGACAGCTCACGGATCCTGGCAGCTGCTGCAGTTCCACGATGTGGCTCTATGCTCTGTTCCTGGCAACTCTTGCCACTTCCAAGGCTCGGGGTGAGTTCCTCTGTAATACGAATATCAGGGGTGCTTTTGGAAAGCCTTGTCCTGGGTCGAGGTGGGCGGAGGTGCATACAAGGAAAAGGCGCTACATACAGGTCTGGGTCTGCAGAGGTGCGCGCCTCTGGACGTGAACTTAGACTAGGAGCGGTGGAGCCCAGCCAGCCCGGCCAGTGCTGAGAGGCAGAGGAGGAGAATCACCCTGAGACTGCAGCTGCACTGCCTGCGCCACGGGCAGGAGGCTGATGGGCTCATGAGGAATTTGGAGCTCAGCTTAACTTCCCTTGATGATTGTTCCAGATATGGCTGGATCATGGAGAGGAGCGTAGCAGAAAAGCAAGGACTCTGGAGCCAGAGTGCCTGGGTTTGAATCCTGGCTCAGCACTTCCTAGCCGCGTGTCTCTGGGCAAGGGACTTGGCTTTTCTGTGCTTCGGTTACCCTAGCTCTAAAATAGGGGTGCTGTTGCTCCTACTGCATCGGGCTATTGTGAGGATGACAGGGGATGTTTCTAAAGCACTTAGGACAGTGCCTGGCACAGAGGAAGTGCAGGAAAGGGATGGATAAATGAAGTAGTTGTTTATAAATGTGGTGAATTAATAGAAAACTTGAGGTATGGTCAGGGCTATGTATCAGGAGACAATTGCTGTTGAAAAGATAGTGTGTCACAGTTCTCAGGAGGAGGGGCACACACTGGCATGGGGTGGGGCACAAGGGGAAGCGCCAGACAGTGAAGAGGGGTAGAGGATGGGCAAGAGCTTTTATTGTGGTTTCCCTGGAAGAGAGAGCAGGCTCAGCACTGGCTACTGAGTAATTTCAGGGGGCTTTGGGACACAGGGGCTGTCCCTTGTTGTCTAGCACCTGGCTCTGGGGTGACTAGGGCAGGTGGATGGGGGTCCAGGGTGTGGGAACCTATCAAGGAGGTGGTTGGTGTGTGGGCTCTGGGGTGGCTGGACCCCGGGAGGGACAGTTCCTCCAAAACCAGCAAGGCCTCAGGTGGCCAAGCTGAGGGTACAGACAGTAACAGACGTGGGAAATACAGGGGGCAGCGAGGGACCTCGAGCTACATCTGTGCCATTTTATAGACGGAGACGCGGAGACTCCAAAAGCAGAAGGCACTTGCCCAAGGTCACCTGGGTAACCACGCCCTGGTCTATGTCTGGCTCCTGTGTCCAGAGCCAGGGGTCCCCCCGCCAATCAGCCCTGACAGCCAAGGCCCTGTCTGGGTTCTGTCTTCTTCGTGGCAGGGAGACACTGTGGGAGAGAGGCCTGGAACTGCATGTAAGGGCGGAGTAAGAAAGGAACCAAATGTGGACTGGAATGTTCGTTTACTTCTGGTTACCCCTGGCAATGCCATCCATTTCCATCTTTAGCAAGTCCTTGCAGGCTGCTTCCACTTCCTTGGTTTCCTCATCTGTAAAATGGGCATTTCGATGCCTACCTAGCAAGCCTTTTTTGAGAATTAATTTATGGGACTGCCATGCTGCCGGCCGCTCTAGGACAGTGATGAGGATTAATTTAAATGAACTGGAATGTATGTCTGGCACGTAGCAAGTGCCCACTGTGTACACACTACATGTAACATAGTGGTAACTGCTGTCTTTCCCATTCTTGATTGTGCCTCCCGCCCCTCCACCTGCTTTTCTACCCTTGGCAGTCTGGCTTCTGACCTCCTCTTCCCTTTGAAGGTTATCACCGAGCCGACAAAGGCCAAGCCTAGCAGTTTCATTTCTGACTTTATGCTCCTCCTCTCTCCTGGGCTTCCGTGAGGCCTGGCGTTTTCCTGCCGAGACTCTGACGCGTGTTCTCAGTGTCGGCCGTAGCTGTCCCTGTTTTATCTTTAGTTCTTTCTCTGCTCTCTCACTCTGGCCTCTTCGATGAAGTCACCACATCCATGGTGCGCACCTCACCCTCTGGTGGATGGTCCTACCCTGCCCCTCACCCGACCTCCTTCCACTCCAAAGTGCCCACGTGCTGTGGGATCCTCTTGCCAGGATGTCTCCCTGACACCTGCACTGACCCTGTCTGAACTGTGACCCAGCCTCACAAGCCAGCTCTTGCATCTCCTTCCCTTCCACGGCCCCCACGTCTGGTCAGGGACCGAGTCCTTCAAAATTCCTTATAGACATCACCATATTTCTTCATAAAATTTGTCTTATAATTATAAAAAGGCATCTACGTTCAGTGTAGAAAACCTGGAAATCGCAGAGAAAACAAGTCACCTGCATTGCCACCCCCTTGCCACGTCAATGAACAGCTTTCCGAGGAAGTTCATCTCAGTGTTATTTGTCTTAATTGGCAATGACAAAAGGAAACAACCACAGAATAGGATTGGCCATTATAACATGAGACGTGGATACTGTTTTTAACCAGGTTTTGCATAAGGAGTTTCTAATGTCTTTGGATATTCTCCTGTGAGACCAAATCTGGATTATTCTTTTCTGTTCTGGCCACACACGTTGAGGAAAGTGTTGAATGTTTGTCTGTATCCAAAGCAGCTCAGTGGGGAGGACAAGAGGCTAGAAACAATTTCCTGGGAAGGATGCTCAGAGAAATCGAGGTCACTGAGGCCAGACAGGACTTGGAGGGGGTGGCGTGATGAAGCGTCTGAAAGGCCACCTGCCCCAGGAGATCACATTGGGTCAGCTCGGTCCCATGGCAGGCGGAACCAGGACTTACGCGGAAGCTGCAGGGACGTGGGCATCAGCTCAGGGGGGAAGAATTGTCTGCTCTGCAGAGTGGAGCAGCCGGGACTGTGTCCCCCAGTCTCTCTCCTCCAGATGTCCTGCTCTGAGCCACAGCAGAGTCCTCCTCACGCTTACGTGCCTTCCTCCAGAATGCCTCCTGCTGCTCGTTTGTCTATGCAATAGAATCCCAGCGCTTAGCCTGGCACTGTAGTCCCTCCCTGACCCGCAGTCTCTCACCCCAGGGTCATTTCCACTCCCCGTAGCCTCCACCTGGTGCCCACGGGCCGCTCGCCCTGCCTGGGCAGGCTCTGCATTTTGCTGTCTCCGAGCGTCGGCACATTCTCTCCTGTCTGCTTCACACCACTCCCTGCTTTCATCTTCCCTCGTTCAGTCCTCCTGCTGCAGGTCCCAGCCCCTCCATGCGCCACCAGCCAGATGGCCTCACCCCTCTTCTGCCGCCTGAAGAACCTCCCAGGTGCCTCTCCCAGGACACCACCACTGTCTTCCCAGATTTGGGCTCTAGTGTGTATGTGGCTCATTCTCCCTGTGAGGTTCTGTGGTCCTGGGAATAGGGGCCACCTCCTGTCCACCCTGTCACCCTGCATGCGGCTCAGTGCAGGATGTAACAGATGAAAGTTCCAGAGGCTGCTCAGAGGGAGACCAAGTGACTTGTTTTCCCAGCAGCTCTCCTCCTTGCATTTATTTCTGACCGGGTGCTTTTCCACCTCCTGTTCCAATTTGCTCCTTAAAACCCCTCTGTGAGTTAGGAAGGACAGTGACCCTCACTCCTTTTTTCACATAAGGAGAAACTGAGGCCTGGAGGGCTTAGGTGACTTATTGAAGGTCACATGCCTAGAAAGTGGCAAAACCCACCTGGAATCCAGGTCAAGCCTTGCACCTCCGATGTGTCCTCATTTCCTCTCGATGTCCAGCAGGTCATCCGTCCTCGCCTCCTCTGGTGGACACCGTGCATGGCAAGGTCCTGGGGAAGTACGTCCACCTGGAAGGAATCGCACAGCCTGTGGCCGAGTTCCTGGGAGTCCCCTTTGCCAAGCCTCCCCTCGGATCCCTGAGGTTTGCTCCGCCGCAGCCTGTAGAGCCGTGGAGCTCTGTGAGGAACACCACCTCCTACCCGCCCATGTAAGCCCGTGGGGTCGGCTTTGGCACCTTTCAGTGGGGATGTCTGTCCCAAAGTGATGCAGGACGGAGTCCCGGCAACCCCCTGATTGGCTTGTACTTTGTTCTGGAGTCCTTAAGAACACTGTAGAACCTTAAGAACATTCCAGAACTCTCCTTTATTCAACACTTACTTCTTGAGCACCTACTGTGTGCCAGACATGTAGGTTCTAGGTCTTGGGATGCATTAGTGAACAAAACAAAGATCCCTAGCTTCATGGAGCTTGCAATCTAGCAGAGGGAGACAGACTATGAATAATATGCAAATTAATAAATGAATAACGTGCTCTGTTAGAATGTGATAAGTGCTCTGAAAAAAAAGCAGTTGAGCAGATGGTCAGATGTAATAATCCTATTAATTCTTCTGACTTGCTCTTTGACACAGTTGGGGGGTTGGGTGCGTGAGGTGTGTGGGTGGGAATGTACTGGGGTGTTGACTTCGTGTCCTCTCAGCTCCCATGTGTGTCTGGCCACCTATCCACGAGCAGAGCAATGGTTGGTGTGTCCTGCCTGCCTGGCCAGTTGGCCTCACGGCTCCCCTGCCCAGGGAACTCAGACACCTACATGCATCAACCCAGGCACTATTCACGTACTCAGCACGGCAGTTCTGCCAATTTCTGGGATCCCGCTTTTGGCTAGGTTCTTTCCTTTCTCTTAAAAATAATATTCCTGTTTTTATTTTCTGATTGTAAATTTGACATACTTCTTATAGACAATTTAGGAAATACAGAGAAGGAAAAGTAAGAAATTACACTCATGGTCAAGTCCACCACTCAGAGAGGATTGCTGTTAATATTTTAGATCACATTTTCCCAGTCTTTTGTCTGTTGCATACTTCTCCCTTGAAAATGGCATCATCTCTACAGATAGCCGGGATGCCTGCTTTGCTCATTTGTAAGTGCATCAGGAATACCATTCTATGGGATTAAGTCACATAGTATGACATTTAGTAGCTGCATTACATTGAATATGGCACCATAATTAATTGATCCAATCTCTTATTCAGTGTCATTTAGTTGTTTTTTCATATTTTTGATAATATAAGTAGTACTGTGACGAACATCCTCTATCTAAACCTTTATGTGCATTCATCAATATTTTAGAAGAAATTTCAAAAAATGACATTTCTGAGTCAAAAATGTACACCTTTTGTTAAATTTCCTCCACAAATGTTTCAACTATACTCCTTCCTTCGATATATGAAAATCTCCATTCACCAGATTTGAACCAATGTTTAGGGTTAGTTTTTTGGCTATTTGATATTTTGCTCTTTATTTTGCATTTTTCTGAATACTAGTGAAGTTGAATTTTTTTTCTCTTTTTTGACATTTGAATTTCTTTTTTTGTGGATATCCTGCCCCTTGCTCTTGGTGATCTGGGGAAAAATTTCCACAGATGGAAATCAGGAAGTCATCTTCGCTGACTCTGAATTTGCCATTTGCCAGCTGCATCATTCCTGGCATCCGAGCGCCTCAGTCCTTGTATACAGTGGGGGCTGCGATGCCTGCCTTCTGGGTACATCTGGGAATGTTGCTTATAGTCTACTTGGAAATATAAGCGCTACACAGCATGGGTCTTTTGGTTAGGTGACCTTGGACAGGTTCTCTAACCTCTCTGTGCCTCAGTCTTCTCGTCTATAAAATGGGGATAATAATAGAACCTATAATAGAATCATGGGGCCGATCTGAGGCTTAAACGAGTTAGTACATAAAGAGTACTTAAAACAGTGTCTAGCACATGTGGCAGACTCAATGAATATTACTAATTTTCATCTATGTTGGATCTTTGAGATCTGTCATCAGGACAACCAACAGAACTTGTTGAGGATGAGTTGATGGTAGAACTCTGGCATGTCAGAGCTTTAAGACCCTTCTAGAAATCACTCCTCTCACTTAGACCCGACAGATTGGGGCCCAGAGCAGGAAAGGAGTTCACTCAACGTTACTCAGCAAATGAGTGGCTGAAGCAGGACTAGAATGCAGATGTTGTCCCACAAAGTTTTCGCCCCTGACCTGTTGCAGACCCTAAATGTCCGCCATTTGAGTGACTTCTCATGGTGTATGGAAGTCTCCTGTGGACTGGAACATGTTTACCTGGTGGAGGAACAAGATCACCCTGCATCCCACCATTTGGATCCCTGCAGACAGCAGGAAATGTCACCTCCCAGGACGGGTCAGCATCTCCTCAGCCTCCTCTCCTTGAGCCAGGGCATCCCAAAGCCCCGGGAAGGGGAAAGGTGCCAAGGTCATCTCACTCTGCTTGGCCTTGAAAGGACTTAGGGAATCCCAGGGCCCCACCTGGACCCTCAGATGCCTCCTCCCCCTTCCAGCGTCTCGAGTCTGGCAAAGGCAAGTCCAATTACAGGGTGAAACCTCCCAGATGAAGGCCCGGACCAGCCCCAGGAGACACCTTGCTCAGGTCTGGTTGAGCCTCTGGGGTTCCTCTTTCTCCCCTGCCCAGGTGCCCGCAGGACCCAGTGGCAGGGCAGCTGCTCTCCGACCTCCTTACTAACAGAAAGGAGAACATTACTCTCAAGTTGTCCGAAGACTGTCTTTACCTGAATATCTACACTCCTGCTGACTTGACCAAGAAAAGCAGGCTGCCGGTAAGCCGTGGGGACCCCTGGCCCAGATGTGCCAGTTCCATGACCACGGGGTCTTCCGGTGCAGATGGGAAGGGGTGAAGCACAGGCCAGGACTGCTCGGGGGCCACAGGGCTCGCACAGAAAACACAGGTTTCCACATGTCAGTTTCCCCTAGTGACATGGAACCACTGGGGGAGTTTGCTGTACATCCGTAAGGCACAGCTTAATTGTCCCAAGTTCTCTCTTGCTCACTGAATGACTAGAGTGATTACTCTTAGTTGCTGGTATAAGAATCTATTACCCAGAACAGCTGAGACATAATTTTCAATAATGTTAGAGCTGGAAGGAATCATAGAGAAAAATTAACAACCCAGCTCTTCCTTTACAGCTAGAGAAACTGAGGCCCAAATGAGGGAAGGAGAGGTCACACAGTAGGATAGAGTTGGTTCAGGTCTTTTGGTTTTCCAACCAGCGTTCTTTGACATGGAGTAGGACATCAACATGTGGGTTGTGGCGAGCACACTGAGATCCATTTGTGACAATTTTCGCTGTCCTATGACAAATGTGTGGGGGCCGGGCCTGGGACAATCCAAGCAGCATTTGCCTTTGGCAATTCTCTGGGATTTTGGTGTGGCTAATTTCGCTCCCTAATAGTCTTTGGCACAGGCTGGTGACTCAGTGAGTCAACATTTCCCAAATAATGAAGGGCCAGAGATGGGCAGGCTGCCAGCGGTAGGGTGGAGGGTGGGGAAGGTCTGCTGGGAAAGGAGGTGATTCCTGCAGTGGACAGGGCAGGGTGTCAGCACCCAGCCAGAGTCCCAGGAGCACCCTGGCACGGTGCTGGGAGTTGGGGAGCAGGTCTGTGAACTGGGGACTAGATGTTGGCCCCACGTGTGCTTTGTAAGACACAAGGAAGTGGGGACAAAGGTTCACTCACTCACTCCCTCATTCATTCGTTCTTCTACTTTGTACTCAATACCTACTGTGTGTTGCCGCCCAACCAGGTTCATTTCCTCGCCGCACAGAGAGCAGCCAAAGTACTGAGCTAGTCGGGGTTGCAATGGAGAAAGAGTTTTATTCCACATAGTGCTAAACAGGGAGATGGGAGAAATTTCCCGAATCTGCCTCCCTGAGAATTTGGGAGACTGGTTTTTAAGGGTAGTTTGGCAGGCAAGGGATTAGGCAATTAGGTTTGTTAACTGGGGCAAAATTATGGGGGTATGGGAATCATCTTCTTGTGTTGTTTTAGTCCCTGGGGTGACAATTCCAGTCGAGTCGGGTTTCGTGCTATGGACAGCTGGTCTGGGTGGGTCAGTCAATCCACTGAAATGCGGGAGCTGAAAGATACCTTAAAAACTACCTTTAGGTTTCGAAAAGGTGATGTTATCTATGGACACGAGCTGGGTGGCTCCGGAGTGGCAATTACAGAGAAGCAAACAAGGGGACAGAGACTAATTATCATCATTATTGTTAGCTAGGCCCTTATCACAGTTCTTGTCCTACACCCTGTTATTGACTTGTGTGAAGGGCGGTTTCATATGCAAGGTTAGACTTGGGGTTGGGGACAGGAGGAACAGGAAACCGCTTCCACGCAGCCCCTGCCTTCAGGGATCCTGCCCTCTGGCTGCACAGACACACGCTGACTTCAGCATGTTACCGCAGACCAGCCAGGGCGCTCAGCCTTCTCTCAAAGATGATGGTAACCTCAGCCCATCCCCAGGAGGGAGGCAGGGATCAGACAGACAAGGGCCGTGGGAGCCTGCAGACAGAGGAACCTCTAGTACGGACACAGGTTCCAGAACTGCAGGGTCTGGGTTGGAATCCTGCTTCTGCCTTCACTAGCCGAGAGACCTGGGCGAATTATTAACTTCTCTAGTCGCTGTTTCCTTGCAATGGGAGTCATCAGGTGTGAGTGTTCAGTGCTGACTGCCCAGCTTTGTCTCCGCCCCTGGCTCAGTATGAAAAGCAAGCACTTGTGAAACCTCAGTCAGAGGAGAAGGGAGGGTCTTACCCCACCCTAACAGCAGACCTGCTGCGCTGCGGCCACTGGCTGCAGTGTGCCGGGCAGATCAACACCTGGACTCTGGAAGCGACTGCCTGGGTTCAAGTCCTGCTTCTACCACTGGGTTGTGTGCCCTTGGGCAGGTTAGGTGCCTCAGTTTTCCAATCTGTCAAATGGTACATATTGGTACCTACCTCATGGATAGCTTATTTTAAAATGCTTAGACAGTACTTGGTGCATAGTTTATATTATAAGTTCTTTTTTTAATTAACTTATTGTTAATACAGTATATTAATAATTATTTTAGCCATTCCCACTGCTTCCCTGTTATGTGAGCTCTTTAAATGTGAGACCCATGAA